CGACCATTCTCATCATGGACATGTGCAGRGGGCCGAGCAGGTAACTAACCTGGAACACAAGTGATCCCACACACACACATATATATTATTATACACAAAGTTAGCTACCTGAAAAGCTATAAAGCTGAGGCCGACCAGGATTATGGGTAGATTTACTTTACACGCCCAACCGCTTGATAACTGTTCATGGACTTGCGAATCTCTTACCAGTTACAGTCTCACCTCTTCTGAGCATCATCGAGCTGCAGTTTGTATTAAAAAAGCTTTGTATATATATGCTTTTTTGATATGAAAAGTTTCCCATGATGCTCAGTGGTCTCAGCTTTTTAGGTTTTTGTTGAATAACTTTATTGAAATAAGTGTATAATAGTATATATTTAAGGAATATGAAACGCCCTCGCATGTCTCTGTACTGTGATATAAACACGCTGGGAGCTGTAGAGCACGAGATAGGCAAGCATAAGAACACGAGGCGTAACYGATAAATGTGGTACATATATATGAAATCGTCGTCCTTGTTTTACGAGGATAGCACTTAGSCATTTCTAACAAACCTTGTTCCATGATCGAATTGGAATTYGGAAGTTGATCAGATTTTGCGGGAGGGAGGACAACCGGATATCCCAGAGAAACCCATTCAAGCAAAGAAAAAAAAACAAAGAGATTGTTGAAAAAGTAATGTTTCAAATACGAATTCCTGTATTCTATTCGGGTTTCAAAATCCGAGTGGAATTTCAAATGCCGAGGAGCATTTGAAATTCCACGTGAATTTTGAAACCGTAATAGAATACAGTGACGAGTATTTGACACGACATTTTATACTCTTTTTGTTATGTTTGTTTTTATTTCAAAGTTCTAGTACTTTGAAATACTTCAAAGTCCGAGTAGTAGGACTTTGAAATAGGTGCGGTCGTATTTGATGGGGGTTTCAAACTACTGCACGTGGTACAAATAAAAAACCCTGGTTGGTCAATGAGCTCATGAATAATTAATGAGTATAAGATCCACGAGTCATGAGACCTCTCACGAGGATCAGCTGCAAGACTTCAGATCAGATRTATGATCATATATGCAATAGCAGGCACCCTGATTGACTCTTTTAAATTATTAGCAAGAGGAGCTAAGGTCATGGCGCCCCATCACCTCACCCCTTCCCCTTTCCTTAGAGCTTGACTAAACATTTTCCTTTATTCCTACTTCATTGGGCATCCTGTGGATTTGGCGGGAGCTTTCCCGGGAAAGCGCGTGTGCTCTCTTGCTACCCCACTGAGTACATTACTACACATGTGTCACATTCATGGTCTGAAATRGGGGAACAGMATYCCCTGCAAGCTTACAGCCCGAAATTTCTCACGGGTGCAATGCATTACAATCGAGAGCAATAACTTTTTTACTATCAGAAAATGGCTGTCGAGTCACGGGAATATCGGCACTCGGCTCGTGATTAATTTGATTGACGGTAGCCAATTCGTCAATATCTGGAATTGGTCGGATAGCAGAAGAGGTAGGGTCTTTTTGATATTTGTATACTGTAGTTGTCAAAGTCTTGTTTCCTACCTGTAAGTAATGGGAGACTTGAAAGAAAGTCAACACCAAGCTGACAGCGTAAAAGCTGTTCGACAGCAGSAGCAGCGTGCGAGGKGTGACGTTTGTCTGTTTGAACAAGAATTTCACGGATAAAGACAAGCTGTCTTCTTTTTCAGCGAKCATCGCATAACCAGATATCCACAGGGCTCCCGTTAACAAGAAAAAGGTAATAATGACTAGGGTAATGAGATGCCACCACTGTGATATGTAGCGTTCCTTGCCCTGACGGCGTGCTTGTTTGACTTCTTCCACGAGGATGCCAAACACCCAAAGCCCTAYCAATATGTCTGTAAGTAATAATAAGAATAATGATTTTATTATAATGATTATATTTGGCCCGTGAACCCTTGAATACGAATTATAAAGCAACTTAAACAAAACATTGCGGGGCTATTTTAGAGGATATAGGTTTTTTCAAGATAAAAAGTTATCTGTAGTACAAATATTTTTTTTATATTGCATCAGTTGCCTTATCATTCTACGAAGACAAAAAGTTTTTATTTTTTATTTTCTAAATAACGCATGCAACCAACTTTTCGTGACATCATTAAAATAAAAATTCTTCAGGTTCTGGTATTGCGCATGCTCGTACACAACATGGCGCGCGCGAGAACAAAACCTATATGGAGCCACCTTAAATCGCATCACTATGATCGACCTGCATACGTCTTGTGTTTCTTCGCGGCTGTTTGCGGTTGATTGATTGCAGTTTCGCTTTGGTATAATGTTTTCGCATTTCAAGACCACAATTGGCATTATCTTGTGAATGAGATTTTTTGCATGAATCGTATCCACATTAATGCCTCTTATCATTCACTAAGTAAAGAAGTGGTACTCAAGAAAATGACCCGGTCTCAAGTGACAAATAATGGTTCTTTCTTGGTATAGCAAACTTAAATCCGAGTTGGTTAGGGTTTTTGTTTTGCAGGGTCGATTGATTTTCTTCAAATTGATTTTCCTTGGTTATTGTTTTATTGTCTTCTTACTTCAGGAGCCTGTGAAAAGTGTGTCTCCCGAACTGATACAATAAACACAAGTCATAAATATAAAAGATGAATTGAATTGAATTTTAAAAACGTAATATTGAGGAGGAAGTAAAAATATTACGGAAGAATTTATTTTTCTATTATATAAATATGTACTATATAATGCTACAATTAGAGGTTCTAGGCCTAATATTATTGTATTCAGTCGAATGAAACTTTTAGAATATGAAAAAATAGAAAAAAGAATCGAATTGCCAGAAAAAAACGGCAAGTTACACTCTCATGTAAATAAATATCAAAATCTTCAAGAACTGATTATCTGAATTACGATAATCAAGCCCGTAGAACCATTTGTAAGCATTATTTATAATTATGTATATTGTTTGTAATGTGTAATTGTTAATAGTAATAATAAAGAATAAATAAAAATATATTTAGAAAAATCATAATATGTACTTATTGACTGAGGGGGAGGGCCGTACGGGAAAATATTTGGCTCGAGGTGATGCCGTACGGACAAAGCGCAGAGAGGTCCGTACAAATGACCGAGAGCCAAACATTTTCCCGTACGGCCCGAYCTAACTCAGTCAATAAGCATTTTATCATATGACCCTAAATAAAAAAAAGACATTCTAAAAGTTGCAAATCATGTCAATACGATCGCAGGTTTCGA